GACTGCGCGGCGGCGACGCGACCCGGCTCGCCCCTCGGCCGATTCCGCTCAGCCCGGGAGGCCAGCCCGAGCTGTCATCCCTCCCGGCCTCGGACTGCCCGGCACCTCCCACGGGTTCGTCCCGTTCTCGGACATTGTACGCGGGGGCGGAGGATCACAGACATGAGCCGAGCCACACTTTTCCCAGGTGTTAGGCCACAAAGTGATGACCACTTCTGGTGATTTCTCTTTCTTGTGCGTGGGTAATTTGTTTTAATTAGTTTTTTTGTTTGTTTCCAAAGCTCTGGTAACTTTTTCGTTTTCTTCGCGTAGGTTCTGGGAGAGAATGTTGCTTCCTTGTTTTTTTTACGCCTGCACTGAAAAGTAGATAGACTGGGTAGGGAGTTGACCGTGGTGAATTGTGAGTGGATTCAGCAGTCGAGTAGTCTAGAATGTCATTTTGAAATGAGTAAATGTGTGCGCGCCCATGTGTGTGCGTGCCCGAGATAGGGATTTGTGGGTACCTGGGCAGTTATTTTAAAAAGGCTTCTTATCACAAATTAACTAATTTATTGAATGCAATGTGTCCATGTATCTTGCTGTTCTTTGGCTTAAAAGAAGTGTAATTTTAGTGGTGGCTAAAAGTTTCATATGAATGAAATCACATGTGCAGTTCTAACTAGTAATCGTATTTTCTTTCTTTCCCTAAGTAAGGTTAGATTGAATAGCTGATATTCCCATCACTAGATTTTATATCTCATAGATTGAAATTATATCTCTGATTTTCAAAGTGTTGTCAGAAGTTGAGAGTTCAGCTTTTGATTCTACTCTGGATTATGCTCCTGTTCACCTTTTATTTTTAATAATAGTCTTGCATCAGAAAAAGTCTCCCTAGAGATGCCAATTAAATGTAGGCTAAGTAATTTTATTTGAGTAAATTTATTTTTCATGGCTTAGCTTTCTTGATCCCTGCTAACCAGTTTTCTTTTGTCATTAATGTTTTCTAGCATTTTCAAAGTCTTGCTAGGTCATTTTGAAATTATTAGTGACTATCAAGTTACTCAGTTTGTATAGCTAAGAAACATTGGCATACAGATATGATTAAAGGAAAACATGTTCCATTACAAGAGAGGAAATTCTTGCTTACTGATGAGACAAGTTAAGTTGTCTTTTCAGAAAAATTTCTTTACTTTCTTGAAAGTGAATAAAATGCCCAACAGGGCTAATCAGATGGAACAATATAAAAATATTAAATTCTGCTCTTATTTGTAATAGAAATAAATACACCTCCATCTTGACTTAAGAAACTTAGTTATAAAATTCTATATAAGTGATTTATAAGAAGAAATTAATATTATAGTGATACTCAGTTTGCAAAAATAATTTTTGTTCATTTTTCTCCAGTGTACATGCATTTTCTAAAATGAGATCTGCTTTAAGTTGTACCTTGGAGACTCACTAAACAGTGTTTTCTAAAGATTTTTATTTAATCCTCACCGAGGACATGCTTAGAGAGAGGAAGGGGGGGGAGAGAGAGAGAGAGAGAGAGAGAAACATCGATGTGAGAGGAGAAATATCTTTCGGTTGCTTTCCATAAGCTCCCCAACAAGGGATCCATCCCCAAACCCAAGCATGTGCCCTGACCCAGGAATTGAACCAGCAACTGTTGGTGCACAGGAAGATACTGAACCAACTAAGCTACCAGGCTGGGCTAAATAGTCTTTTCTGAGCATTCTTTAAGGAGTGAAAGAAGCTTTGCAAAAGTATTAGTGCTGTCTCTACTCTGGGGATTGGAGTGGTAAAGAATAACCTAAAAATGATTTCTGGAAAGCTTCACAGACTAATGCTCTGAGTACACCTCATTTAGCAAATAGTTATTGAGTTCCTTGGCACAGACCAAGAACTATGCAAGATACCAGGGAAAAGCAAGATCCTATACTACTTCTGCACTTTTGGAGATTATAATCAAGATTCTGGCTTTGCGAGACTGTCCAGTGAATTGACTTCTGGCAAGGAAAAATATTAATGTTTGGCCAGTGAATGCTCCCTTGACCAACCCTAAATTAGCAAAATGGGGATTTTGTCACTGATTTAAAAAGGGAAAAAGTTGCAATCCTAAGTCACTTATTTTGGCCGTCAACTTGGGAAAAAATGAGTGAGTTATTAGGGAGTTTGAAGAGTGATGATTTTACTTCAGTTTTTCGTTTGTATTTATTAGAAACAGAATGCTGCAAGAATATTGCTGAAAATCTGAATTCATTGGGCATTTTACCACATTTCTTGACATCATTTGATATGGTTTGCAATACCTGTTTCTTAAAACCCATTCTTCACTGGGTTTTGGAGACATCATACTTCTGGTTTTCCCCTGGCCCTTTTTGGTCTTCTACTGTTGAAAATCTCTTTTGTAGACCTTTTCCACCTATTTATTTCTTAAAGGCTCATGTTTCTCCATCTTTTGCTGCTATTTCTTCTTAGTCTATACACAAATCCTTGGGTGATTTTTCTCTCTTCCCATGGTATTCCAAATGATTCTGAAATTTATATCCTAAACCAGTCTTCTCTTCCAAACCTGAATATTCAACTTTTACTGAACATTTCTGCTTGAATGTCATACAGACATCTCAAACTCAACTTGTTTGTGATTGAATTCATGATATTTCTGCCACTCCCCTCCCCCTAAAAAGAAATCCCCATAGTTTAGTGAATTGTACCATCAATCTGATCTATAAATGTGGAAGTTGGCCTGGATCTTTGCCCTCTACCCCACCACAAATACAGATAATCCAAGCAAGCCAAATATATTTGATTTAATCACTTGGATTCATCCACTTTTCTCTAAATCACTATCATTACTTCAGTCCAGGAACCTATCCTCTTTGTTTTTCATCTGTATTACTGCAGCAGTCTCCTAATATCTTCCTGCTTTCCAGTCTTGCCTTCTTGTGGCCCATCCCCTTCACTGCAGTTGTAATCCTTATTAAGCACAGCTCAAGTAAAAAACTTTTGGAAATGTTTTTACTCTCAGAATAATTTCTCTACAACATGACATAAGGCTCTTCATGACCTGGTTCTTACCTGTCTCCAGTTCTGTCTCTTACCACATTGTTCATTGACCACTACACTCCAGTCATCTTTTCAGTTTCTTGAATGTGAAATGTTCTACCCCCTCAGCTGGAACATGTTGCTCTCTTTACCTGTGCAACTCTTCATACCTGAGATCTCTGTATAAGAAAGCTGCTTCCCCTTTCCAACCTTTCTGTTCTGATCACACTCTTTACTACTACTTTTTATAGCAGTCTTATTTTGTATTGCCATGTTTAATTGGCTTGTCTTCCCCACCAGACTATAAACTTCACAAGGACAGGTACCACATTGATTTTGCTCACCATGGCCACCTGCCTGGTGTCTAGCATGTGGTAGAAATGCTGGTTAAGAAGTGTCAGTTACATGAGTGAAAGCCATTGCTACATTCTACTATGATATTCCTACCCTACCCTAGCCTACTCCTACCCTAGAGTTTCTAACAAATACCAACTTTTCTTTTACCCTTGCTTTTGCTTTTCTGCTTTATTAGCTTGAGATTTTGAAAATGCATACCCAAGTAATAATTTTAATAAATTTATGTAGGTGTAAGTTTTTGAGTTCTTTGAGAAAAATGGCATTACGAGTTGAATAAATGATGCTAGATTTTGATTTATTTTGTGTTTGATTGAACTCACTAGTTTGTAAAACATCTCTTTTTAGGAACTGAAATAAACTAATTTCTGTGAAAATATATTTTTAAGTTATTGAAGTAAGGATGATATAAGCATTAAAAATAAATATATGGGAATCCAGACCTGTAAATACAGTCAATCCTTTTTTTGTGGCAGCATTGGCCTCCCTTTATCTTTCCTGTCAATCCACCCATCCAGGCATTACACAAATATTTATGAGAACCTACTATGCCTCAGTCACTGCTTTAGGTGGCTGTGGATACTGCAGTGAACAAAGAAAAAATTCCCACCCTTGTGGGACTCATTCTCTTGGATGAAGCTGAAAACAAGCAGAATATATGTGTATATGTAATTTTTTAATACAAAAATAAATTTTTTTTAGTATAAGTGTGTCCCATTTAAATATGTCCCAAATGTTGCACGGGACATATTATACTAAATTATTTGTTATCTGAAATTCAAATTTAACTTCATAGCCTATATATTTTTATCTCCTAAATCTTGCAGCTGTAATTGAGAGGAAAGGTTTTGTATGATTCTTAATCTGAGAGTACAATCACAAAGCTAGGTCATCAGAGTTTAGGTCTCTTGAAAATGTAATCTTGACGGTGAAGTCACACATAACTCTGATGATCAAGAATAGGAAGATATCTAGAAACTGATATACTGTGCCTGGATATTTTTAAAGAATATGAATTAGACGTGGAGAGTACACAATCCAAGGACCAATAAACAAAGATTTTAAGACCTGGGATTCATCCTTGAAGAAACATTAAGATTAACTCAATTTTTAAGCCATATTCATCAGTCTGTTTCTTAGAGTGTTAGGATGTTAAAAAAGAGAAAGATTTATTGAACTACGTAATCTGCTTCCTTATTTTATGCTAAGGAGAATGGAAAATGGACTCTTGATTGGAAATGGCAGAAGTGATTTAGGTTAAATAGAATTGAAGCACATTATGGGTGGGAATAGTAAAAGAGCACCCAGGCAATGGCTGGGCAACTTACTTGGTTGAAATGTCATCCTGATATGGCAAGGTTGCAGGTTCGATCCCTGTTCAGGGCACATAAAGGAATCAGTCAGTGAATGCATAAGTAAGTGGAACGACAAATTGATGTTTCTTTCTCTCAAATCAATAAATAAAAAAATTAAACAAAAAACAGCACTCAGAGGTTCAGTCACTCATAAGCCTGAGAATTTTCAGGTAGTGTTTTTAGAACCTACTATTTGCCAGACATTAAGTTTGATGCGTTCACAACTATTACCACTCTCATTAGCCTTTTGTGTTTATTTAAAATTTTAATTAAAACTTTCAATTATGGTCTGTTTCAAGAATGTGGAAAATTTCAGAAAAGAATGTAACAAACACTGATGTACTTGCAATGTAGATGTAATAAGTATCAATATTTGCTTTATTTGCTTGTTTTTTTAAAAACTATTGTTAATATTTTTTCTTTTTTTGCTTTCTCCCCTCCCCCTCAATCCACTGTCTTGGAGCGGTTGTATATAGTTCTCATGTATGTTTCTGCCTATGT